TTCCCCTAGGGAATCTTTTGACTTAATTCTACTATTGATCAGTTCATAATTCTGACTTGATGCAGGTGATGTGGCCACTTTAATAGGGACATACATGGAGCATGCATAATGGACTTTTTCACCAATATTGTATTTAAATAAAAAAATAAACAACCTTTGACCAGTATTTCAATGGATAATTGGTTGCATCTTTATGTGTTTATTGCATATTTTTTAAGTTACATCCAAAAATAACCATTATTTTTGTTCAAATTACTGTAACAGGGAAAGTAAGTGAGATAGACTTTCTACAATCCGTTTAAAAAAAACAACAAATTAATTTCGGTAGACCTAAATTGTTTTTGTATTGACCTGTAATTTCAATTTAGTAAAATTGATCCATGAGATATTTAGAAGGAATATTCTACAAAATAATATTGACACGTTTTTTTTTGATTAGATTAACAATCTAACATAACCAAATAAAGTGTTATACATGAGACAAGCGCTTTGTCTTGTGCTGTTTCTATTTATCATGTCTATAGGACGCAGCGTTAATTCATTTTTATCTGAGAAACAGAAAGGTCACAGATGTATCATATTCAATGTGCCTGTCAAAATGTCCCCCAAGGTTGTCATGATACCAGATGATAACACAAACCCCTGTCTTGCTTTTATTCCATGTTGAAACCCTCTGATGCAGCCTACACATATGAACACTGTCAGCGATGTATCACAGGTATCGATCGTGCTGGTGCTCACAGTAGCAGAGGTAAAGTTAGGTCACTCCTAGACTGGATCTTTAATATCTCGTAAAGGGCCAAGTGGGTCTGGGGCTTGATGTTGGCTTGGGTTGCATTAAGATGACCTCAGCTCGTCTCATGCATTTTCACAACTCTACGTAAGGTCAAAATCATTTATAAGTACTTCAGCTGGGGATTTGCTATGATTGGTGTGTCACAGTGAAGGGGATTGAATCACTGCAATTTCTATGTTTAAATAAGCTAAATCTTCTCTGCTAGAAATTACATTTATATAGAAAACTTCATCCATCAGGCAGTAGTTTCGTCAACAATGCTGTTATTAACAAATTAATGATATGAAAATCGGTTCTAGAAGACGGGGTTACTCTGGGTTTCTGGAGTGATAACTTTTATAGTTATTGCTAATAGTGAATAGAGTGTATCCCTCAAATGTTATCTTGTCTTTGTACTCTTTCTCAAAGTCAGGTACATGTATTTTTTCAAAAACAATTAGATTCTCATAAATAAAAGGTGTACAATATTCTCATAAAGTTCTAAATTAAACATTGAAATGCATTGAATGAACACTTTTAACAGTACTATATCATTTGTATGCCTCATTGTGATCTTTCAATGTCAAGTAAGAATTATTTTAATCTTGATTTCACTACATTGAAATGGTGAGGATTTTGAGAACTTCATGCACATTGTCGAATGGACTGCAGTTTCTTTCCGGTGTATTTTGTATCTGAAATAAACTGCATTCCAATCAGGATGCTAATCTCAGTTACACCCTGGCCAGGGTAAGCCTAAACATCCTCAGGCGCTTAAAAATAATCCTGGCCATCAGAAAACCTTCCTCTGGAGGGAATAGCCAGGGGTGCACCTTGCGAACAGGCAAGGCAGGCAACTGCTTGGGGCCCCGGACCAGAAGGGGGCCCCCAAAGAAGGGAGATTGAGAAGGTCCACAACAACGACAACATGAAACACCCTTTAATTTACTGCAACAACATTTCGAGTAACCCCCTCAAGGGGTCCCCATGCATAGCGCGCCGGTCAAAAGCATAGTTTAATCCAAGTCAGTGTTTCCCCTACCATTGTCTTTGAGGGGCGCTGCCGGGGGCTGTCGGAGGTGTCATGTCCCTTCTGCTTGGGGCCCCCAGATTGTCTTGGGGCGCCACTGGGAATAGCCCCACATGACTGCTTGTATTTTGTTTGTCTGGGCATGTCATGTCAGTTATCTTCACTCCTGCTGGGATCTGTAGACCTTGCACCAATCTCCCACATGCAGGGACATTAGACAGGGACAATGTTCTTGACCATCTGGCATTTAAAGCAGAGTCTACTCTTCTGGTGAGTCTGAAAATGGTCTCTTGTAATAGAAAAACTCTTTTTGATCAGAATGCCTTTAGAAATCCAACTGTGTCCATCTGACTTGCATGAAACCTCAGAAAAGACTTCAATGGCTTTTAACCCGACAGCAAGAATAATTCCATGCATGGCCCGAGGTTGTAGAAAATCTGGATTTTACACATTACATCTGATACTTATCTCGGCTTATTTAGCTCTTCAGGTAAACCAGCACACAATATACACCCTGAATACAGGGCTTGTGCTCTGTTGTAAAGACACCCAGACTGTTGCATATCATTAGGTATTTATGTATTCATGCCTCTCTGGATAACATGAAAGACATTTAGATGATTCAGAGTGTCAAGTGACATAATTAGCATCTTTGCAGGAGATATGGCACTTTGGCTATTGCAGTTATAACGATCTCACAAGCTTGTCCTCTTGTCATCTACATCAAGACAACTATTGAGTCAGTCAGCTGTCAACCTAAAGTGTAACAGGAGTTACATGATTAATGTCATTTAAGACAAGAACAATGCTGTTAAGGCATAGATTTACTGGATTCGTCGCTCGTAAAACACAGGAGGTATGGAAACTAAGAGCACCATATGTGGTAAATTGTACAGCTAATATAACACAACACATTAGTTGTATTAACTGGTGGATATAGAGTTGCTGCGGAGGGGGGGGTTGAGATGCGCAGGCTGCAGTGGAGACGCTGCGCACAGCTGATCGACAGCTGGGACACAAACCACCAAATACAAAAACATAGGCTAATTCAGATCCAGTCGTCATGACTCCACTCCGGAGGGATTCCCCGATCATTTCTTACAGTTTCTCATCAAGGGGGGGTCTCCTGTCCCCGGTACAAACACACTGCCTGAGGAAGGTTAGGCTATGTTTAATTCTTTTGTCATTAGCCTTTTTCGGACCACTTATTTATTTATTTTGGTGACGATCCGACCTCCATGCTTCTACTCTGGTTCAAACTGCATCCACCAAACAATATGATTTATCTCGACCTCCCCAAAATAACCAAAATCTGACACGGTGTGAGATGTCTTTTTAGCTGTTCTGTCGTCATTTCCTGCGATCTTCTCCATGCAGTCAGTCAAAATGAATGAAAGGGCGTTTCTTTTACTATTTATAGGCAAATATGGGCGTTACGTGAAGCCCGCAAAAGCTGCGCCGCATTTCGAGTTAATTGTGATTTATAAAGGGAAACCGGCGTAGGATGTGCCGTACGCAAGTCCTGCGCCGGTACGCAGTCTTTTATGAATCGGAAAATGTCTGTGCGTATTTATTTGCTTTGTCCTACGTAAGCAACCTTCCCACGCCAATCCTACACAAGGCTTTATAAATGAGGCCCCAGATGCTTTGCCTGTGGTCCTGAGCAATACTACTGCCATGACATAAAAAAACGCATAAATGAAGTTATACATTTTAGCAATGTATGTACTGTAGTCACTACAGTAAATACAGTGTAGTGTTCTGCATGGAAAGGGAAAATTCACTACAATAATTTCTAAAACATGATAAAAAGCAAAACTGGAGATGATGGTACAAATGTTTGTTATTTGATTTTCAAACAAAGTACGTTTTACTTGTTACAATCTATTTGCAAAATCTGTTACCCAACTGGACCAAAGGGGTTTGATCCCTCTGACCACACACCCTACCAACTGAAAATGGTATCAGAAGTAATTACGGTACCTCTTTACACAGAACAGCATTCGCTTTTTTGTGTCTGCATGACACATTTTCTGGGCCGCACACACAGGCTGAAACCAACCTAAAATCATGGCTCAGATGCAGCATTCTGTTGGGGGGGGGGGCTTGCTGAGTACATTGTGACCATTTATCACCACTAATAGGTCATAGTTTACAACCTGACGTTGGGCGTACATCCTCAGACACAGGGGACTAAGGGAACATGGAAGAAAAGCTGTGATGGTACAGTAGAAGTCTGGTGAGATTAGATTGTGTGATGTCAGCTAGACAGAGGCACACAGGATACAAGAACATCTAAGAAGAACTGACACACCGCTACTGAAAAACAAACTGGTCATAAGTAGATGAGGTTTTTGGCAGCTAAGGACTGTAGGGATAAAGATTGTAGAGCATATGCACATACGAACACACCAGGGGTGCTTCAAGGAGAGCCTAAACATGAGTGACACATGGACAAGCTCTTCCTGAAGCAAACCCTGTTGAGTTTTGTGCTTTACAATCCGTGTTACCTTTATCTGATTGGGGCTTTGCTCAAAGGGCTGTTCATGTCTTTTCTCTGTGTTGAATTAGATAAATAGGACTAAACCAAGCTTTCTTAAAAAGTATGTATTCTGCTGTGTGACACACACAATCTATGTTTTGCATTAGTGATTTTAAATCTGGCAAGGTACACTTCAAAGCAGCTCGTCTGCTAACCCAAATATTGTATATGACTCGAAAATGACCTGTTTCACTACAAATCTTTGCTGGAAGATTAGGGAGGGATCCAGCATGGCAGGGGACTTTTTTTTCACACTATGGATTAGAGATTCTCTGTGTTGATCTTTGGCTTTGCCCAACTCATTTTGACGTCTAGGCAGGTGCCTGGCGGTCTATATTAAGGTTTAATAAGACTCATAGTTCTTCATTAATAGCTGTCCACAGGGTACATTCAGGACCTCTGCATAGAAAGGACAGAGCAAGTGAGCAGCAGAGAAGAGGGGATGAGGTGACTTTAAAAGATGTGTCTACACTTTCATATGTCTCCATAGAATACTAATAAAGCTGGACACTTATGGTACGTATGTCATTACACACTACACATTTGAAAGTGCATGCACTCCTTCCCTTGGCTGCACTACACTGCGCAGCAATCTTCTGTCTGTGAAATTCCAATTCAAACGCCACCCAATTACTTCAATTCAAAGGAAATAGTTTGAGAATCAGTCTAAATATTTGAGCTGAGGGAGCCAGTGGAGCTATAGTTTCAGGAGTAAACACATTCTCTGTGTAGGCCTGATAACGTCACGGATGTGCGTGTGTGTGTGTATGTGTGTGTGTGTGTGTGTGTGTGTGTGTGTGTGTGTGTGTGTGTGTGTGTGTGTGTGTGTGTGTGTGTGTGTGTGTGTGTGTGTGTGTGTGTGTGTGTGTGGGTGTGGGTGTGGGTGCGTGCGTGCATGCACAGTCACACGCCTGAGACTTAGAAATAACTCAAACACTAAATCAAAGGCAAGAGTTGTAAATCTACCCTCTAGATACCCACTAACTGCTGAACTCTAAAAAAAACACATCAACTACACAGGTCCCGAAGCTAGCAGCACCAAAACTATTTTTGTTGAACGTTCATGGGCATGAATCTGCAATGCCAGGTGTTTTCTAATTCTAAAAGAAAACACATCTGAGTGTTAACCAGTTTGTGTGCTGTCTTTTTTGTTTCTGCATGAACAATTTATTTGTCTTTCATTACAAAAATGTTTAACACTTGCCTCATGTGACCTCCAATATAACACTTTTGACTGCTGTATTTCTGGAAGCTTTTTGGTGATGTGCACTGAGAAACCATCTATGATTGTGGGTTGAAGGGGAGTGTTTTAGGGGTAAATACAGCATAGGCATTCAACTTGACGGGGAAGCACTTACTGTAAAAGGCTCTCCTGCTCAGGGTCTGAGATCCGTGAAGGGTAAAAACATGTTAGGCAGCTGGAGTGTAATAAAGACAGTACTGTATGCACATGCCCTTTTGACATGCAGGTAGGGGAGGAGATTAAGTAACCTTTTAGTGGTTTTTAAATCAGATGTAACTACAACTTCTGTATTTCTGTTTCGCGTGGGACCCATAGCATTTCAATGAGGGAAATAATTATCTTCCATAAATCAGCAGGGGATGGAAAAGGTCTTATATACTGGAAGGAAAGCCCTGGAAGACTGACCCAAAGCTCAAAACTATAGCCAAACCTTTTGAAAAGTCAAAGGATATGAAATGGCAAAATCGCCATTTTAGTCAACACTAATTGTTAACTAACTTTTTTAGCCAAATCTAACAAAAAAATTGATGCTGGATGCAGACAGGTCTAATTGGATGTTGTACAGTATCTCATTGTTTTCGTCATTGTAATTGCATGAATGTTGGCCAAGTGATGGAAAGAGAACATATGGAGGAATAATCCTCTCCTGCTTTGTTTTATTTAAAGTTTTATTTTTTTTGTAAACCCCAACAGTCAGTTCAGATTAGTTTTTTAGGCTCTGTGTCCTTGAACTGCTGCTTCTTTGTTTCGCACAGTGAAGATTCCATTTCCTAGAATGCAGTAATATGTGCGTGTCTTTCCTCTTAGCTATTCCTCAGTATCTTATGTAAGAATCTTTGATGGTATTGCTCCAGGGCTCTTAGGTGTCTGCTGTATTTGCTCCATGATTTGGCTTCATACAGCAAGCTGGGGAGGACAATATATCTGTAGACCAGGACTTTTCTTTTGGACAAGGAGGCTATGGTCCTCAAAGTCTCTCTTTCCTGATTGCTGTGTAAGCCCGTCTGGCACAACTCAGACGATGGTCACATGTTCCTTTTCGACCCCTTTTCAGCATTGAAGGGCTCCGAACTCGAGCTGCTGTTACAGAGCCCTTTGATTGAAATGCCGTCATGATAACGCCTTAATATTTTGATGTTATTATCATGGGAGCTGTACCCTGACATGTTGCTCCACAGAGCTGTCAGTTTGGAAAAGTAAAAGCCTTTTGTCAGGTCCATGAAGGTCATTTCAGGATGCTTTTTTTGTATGCTTATTTGTGCAGTTGGCGTTCATCAACTCATCAATAAGACGCTTGTGCTGAGCTGTAATGTTGAATACTTTATAACAAAACTAAAGTCAACTCTAGTGACATTCTAACATTCATAACTTGCTCATATTTGAAGCATCAAAAGAAAGTTCCTGAATAGGTTTGCTGAACGTTCAATTCAGTCCTTCAGAATGATTGAGTATGACCATGTCATATTTAAATGTATTGTACAGTTTTTTACCGTAGCGTTTTATTTCTTTTCAATTCCAAATCCATTGTATTCATGGTAAGGTTTTTTTGAACTATGATCAAATATTTTCTTTCACAATTTCAACGAAATGAGTATGACCCTGACTATGACCATGTTCGAACTGAAGTCATTTTACTAACACAGTTCTAAATATCTAAAAAAATTGGCAGCCCAGTGGCTTGGCTTCCATGCAGATTTTGGGGAAAGAAAGCACTTAAAAATCATTGGCTCTGAAATGAATCTGGCACTTTAATGAATTCTCAAGTGTTGATGTGTTTATTTGGTGATGGAGCTGGATAGTCAGTCTGCGGTTTGTTCCTCGGCAGATACCTTACAGTTAGTTATCAGGGCTTTTTCACTAAAAGCAGCTGCCGGCTGGACATGACTTTGAAAAGAGCTGTGAGACTGAACCATAAGAGTTGTAAGGTGTGAACTGATAATGCCTTGTGGGAGCAACATCGCTGTAGCAGGAGCATGTTTGTGTGATTGATATAGGCTGGTGTTGAGATGAGATTTTCAATCCATGGCAATTGGTGCTTTATTTTTCAATGCTGCCTCGCTCTGAGTATACACAGTCTTCATCACCCTTCAAAACCATATAGCGTGACATGACAGCCTTTACCATTATGATTTTTACAGCCTATGATGGCTACATCTGTTGTTGTCAGGTTGCAAAATGCTTACAAAGCAGTGTTGGCTTAGTGTGCCTGTGTTGTATATACATAGAATTTTACGTGCAACAAGACAGCATCACATTGAGAACAAATAGGAGAACAACTGGTTCTCCTCCACCTCTCCAGCAGTTTCTGCTCCTCCCTCAACCACCATTCTTCTTTTGGCCTATAGACAAATCTAAATAAAAAAAACAAAACTAATTCTGACAGGTGACATATAACACACTGAGAAAAAACTAATATATATCTGTAAATAAATCAAGAGAACCGCCCCTTATGTTGTTCAATGCATGGGGTTTTAGTTTCTTCAGGAGATGAAGAATCCATGTTGCAGATGGAGTTGAGACTGGATAACACAGTGTGTGGGTGTGTGTGAATGACAAACCAGAAAGGGCTTGTTTTCAAAATGTCTTCTCCATCTCACAAACTGAGTAAAATATAGTGCGATGCCAGCTCTGCTGAAAACGTATGGACATCACATTTTGTGCAGACTTCAGAGAGCAGACGAGAGAAATGTCATGCACATAGCTCACCTGAAAAGGCCAAAGCTGTTTCACCACACTTTTCTTGAGATTAGACCTTCGATGAAAGCTCCATTATTTCTACAAAAGGCCTTTTTGACTGCTCCTCCTTAGCCTTGCATTCACTGGGGTATTATCTTGTTATGAGGCCTTTTTTTTCGGTCTCAATCTGTGTTAATCCATCTGGTGTTGCATAATTCTTTAATATAAATCATTAAACGTTTTTATGAATAAAAAAATATGAATACATTTTAATTCCTCCATTAAATTAGTAGCCACAAAGTGAGAACCTCTCAATCGATATATATTTTGTTCTCCCTATCAGTTCCAGGCGAGTGAGCATGGCAGTGGCATAGGCTACTATTAGGTTATTACAAAAGCAAATCAGTCAGCAGAATACATTTTCTTGAAAGATATCAGTCTGGCGAAAGGGAATTAATAACCATGCACGGGTGTGTAGATGTTGAATTTTCATCACTTTTCCCCAGCTATTTGTGCAGAAGTCTGTTTGCTTTGATGATGGCTGCCGTCATGTTCTGTTCAGAGGCCTTAGAATGAGGGTAGCAAACATACATTCACTTGAAAGTCTGATAAGCATGCATTCTAAGAGAAGGAACACAAATCAAAATATTTAAGTAGAAAAATATAATTTAACTTTGTCACGTCATGGGAAAACATCTGCTGCCTTGTTGTTTGTTCTGAATCTGTGTTGAGTGTGTTTGATCAAGATACACGTCTTTATCAGTCTTCTATCCACAAAGACAAGGGGTGATCAAGCATGCAGTTGTGATGTGTAGAGAGATGAAAAACCTGTAAGCTCTTCAGGGTGCAGTGGTGCTGAGGGACATTGAGGAGCTGAAGGTTTAAAGTAACTGGAATTGCAAAGACAAAGCACAACATGTCAGGTATGGAAAACATCTTTACTATTCAGAGACAACGTCCGCCTCCATTTTATAGATGCACCCTGGCAGAGTGCTCTGAGGCTTATTCTTCTAGATATTTACTTATTCAGCTAACAATATCACATTTTAAATGGCCATTGTTAACTCCCTTTTTGGTATAGTAAGTTGATTATTGTTACTACAACTGGTGACAATAACTACTGATAATGGCAGTTCAATTTATTTTTGAAGTAATGGTATCACCCGTAATATAAAAAAACAAACATTTTCACGATATCCTATGAACTTGACAATGTGTTCAAGCAGAGGGCTAAAAGCGGCATTAACTGTCAGTATTTTTCTTCAGTGTTTTAACTGTGAACAATCCCGTGAAAACAAAATTAATTAATACTAGCTAAATATAGCTGAATTAAAAAAATAGAGCTAATTTCCTAAAGTGGCTGGCATTTGTACATTTTTGGAAGATTACTCAAAGGAGTTTGTTGGGGATTATTTTATTTGAAGTGTTTGTTCTCAATGCGTCTCACTTATATTTGTTATGTTTCTGTACAATAAAGGAATGTAGCATAGACACCAGGTTATATCAGTCATTGGCTACAGAAGTAACACTTTTTAGTCTCTTCCAATCATTGTTGGTGTCATAAATAAAATAAAAATGGTCATAAAAATGGTGTCATAAAATGAAGAATATCACAAACCTTCTCCTGTTAAGGTAATCTGGATTGATGCACATGGGCAAAAAAGATGAGTATGAAATTATTTTTTACTGCTTTAAAAAATAAAATGCTAGTTCCAGACACAATGACAGAAAACAAAACATGTAGAGGAATAGAAACAAGGATTC